TACATTGAAGGCAGGCGCGTTGAAGGCAGGATTACATTGAAGGCGCGTTGAAATTTGAAGGCGCGTTGAAGGCAGCGTTGAACACCCCCATTTTGTAGACAGTATCACTTTGTAGAGCCGAAAAGTAGTTTTTTAACTACAAAATGACTGTCTCAACCCCACGCCCTAAATTTCAACGGGGATTCAATAGATATATATATATATATATCGTATCATATATACCAATATGATAGATATAATATATATAATATATGTATATATATATAGCAAACGTAATTAATTGTTTTTGAATAATTTGATAGGGCTTGAACAACGCTCACTTGGTTCTTTTCTTTCGGATCTTTTTTCGGAGATGTGTCGCGGTGTTGGGGATGTGCTTTTCGGGTGTGACAGTGGCAGCACTTTTTTTCAGGTCTGTGCGGTGGAGTGGTGGGAACTGGTACGGTCTCCACAGGGGTCAGATTGACCTCCATTTTGACTTGGATCTTGGAGGTTGGTCATACGTACAAGAACACTCTACAGAGATCAGAGTAGAGCACTAGTCCATGTTCGATAGTCGGACCAGGTTTTAACCCATTCTTTGGACCTGCCGGGGTGGGCGAATCCTGCTACAAGTGACATTTCTCAGGGTCCACACCGCCCGAATCACTCCAAGGATCCCCTGGAGTACATTGGAGAGACCGTGCTGGGTGGGCACACGATCATCGGCCCGAAGCGCTTCTTGGACGACCGCCCGCGGGCGGGGAACGCGTCGGGTTCCACGCGGGAAACGCTCGTGGTGGAGGCCGGCGTGGGTGGGGTTTGGAAGCCGGGCACCAATTCTGTTGTTGGGACGTTTGGGGTATGGAGTTGGGAACGATATATTCTTCCCGCACACCTGAGCAACATGGATCACAAGCCATGTTGCACCCACTTGCTCAGCATTGCATATCGATGAAGGTGTACGCCGCGATTTCGACTACCAGCTTTCTGGTTCCAGCTTGAGTGCAAAAACTTTCAGAATTTGTTACTATATGTTATATAAATTATATAGATATATATTAAAGAACAGCTCAATTTAAGAAATCAGAACATGAATTTGTGTTTTTGAACTACTTAGCTAAATTAGAAACATCTAATCAAAAACTTTCAGTTTTGACTACACTAGTAGAATAGAGTTTATAGATGTTCTATTGATAACGGTCAAAACATCAGAACAACATAGAACAACAAACTGTTATATCAGCTGTTTTTGGGGCATTTAGTCATTATGTTAAAAAACAATCTCTGACTCTGTAAAGGCATTCCCTGATGAATTGCATTCTAGGTAGTTAGCTTTCTGAACAATGTAGCCATAATATATTTAATCTCTCTATATATATATATATCTATTTGCATGATTTTATTTGAGTCCTTTCATCAATATCATACTTATGTTTTGTTTGAATTTCAATGTGTTTGCATAATAGATTGCAAACTATTTGTGGTTTAATAGTTTATCAGTAGACGAATAACAACATGTTCATAGAACAGTTGTGTTTGATAGAACAAATCCAACAAACTATTTTCGTCCAAAGTCTCAAACAAAGACACGTCTACCGGAAGGAAAAACTCGAACAATTCACAGAAAAGTTCCCGAAAAATGCAAAAACCAAACACGTTGAACGTAGACACATCAGACAATTCCACAGAAGAAATCGCAAACATATCAACAAACCAACGGAAAACGACAATAGCTCAAATAATGATAACCTCACGAAACAGCAGACGAATCGATTCAGCCAAGCTGAGCAGAGGGTGATTAAAATATATTGAAACATATTGAAACTGGGGAAAACCAGGACCATCCTGGTCCTGTGTGGGTGTCCTGGCTGGACTACCTTATCCAGGATTCCCATTGAACCGCCATTCAACACCCTTTGGATGGTCTAGGAATGTGTGTGTGTCTTTTTGGGTGAACCATGGCCTTGCTTTCCTCGTCCAAGGCCACTACCTCTCGATCTTCTTCACCTCCGCAGACGCGGCCTGTGCAGCTTGGGCGTCGCTTCATCTCGGACGCGAGCACCGTGAAGAGCCGTGAATCACCGTGATTTCGGTTCATCAGATTCGGTACAAGTTTGCCGAACACATCCCTCTGTTCGGCATCATCATCATGTTTGTTCGATTTGTTAGTCAAAATCGATCCCCGATCGATGCTTTTGTCTGCGATTTGTGAAGTCTGCTTGGGTGGTTGGAAGTCGGTCTAGACGCAGGGTTGGACGAGCGGGCTTCAAAAAAAAGATACCGGCCATGCTGCAAACGCATGCTTTTTGTTGGTTGGTCGTCTCTCAACCTGTGAACTTATGGGAGCTTTAGTTTCTGTTGTGTTGTATCTTAAGTTTTCATGGACACTGGTTTCAGAGTAGATGGCACAATCCCCAACAGGTGGTTTAGAGACCCCCATCAAAAGGACATTTTAAGTTCATGTAATTAAGTATATTTAAGTGTTTGTGCCATCTACTCTGAAATCACTATATGTTGATGTTCAGACCGTGTACGTATCTTATGGCCAAGTTTCCCCAAAGACTGCCTACCGTACTACCTGACCCGCAAAAACATAACAGAGTAAGGGCCTGCCCTGAAGAAAGGGGCTGGGAATGTCGGGGATTTGAAAAGGACTGCCTGACGTAGTAGAAGCGAATCAGGCTGGGGAGCCCCGTGTTTTTTTCAGTTGGTCTTTGTCCTCCACCACCAGGGAAGGTGAGTCCTCTATCCCAAACCCGTCAAACTCGTAAGCGCGTCTCGAGCTGTACCACTGTACCACTGTACGGCAACGAGAGATTCAATGAAAGAACTCTGTACCATTCCTTCCAAGCGAAGGGGCGGATGTCGATCGAACGGACCTTGTCACGTTCCACGACCGGGACGTCACGTCCTCCGGAACTGGACTCCACCGGACATCAACGGACTCGCGAAAGCTCCGAGCGCGCGATGCCAAGGATGGCAAGAACAAGAGCCAATGGACCTTTGAGGAGACCAGCCAAGCGCTCCCAGGTGCGGCTGAGCGCTGGCTGGCTGAGCGCCATGTTCTTTTCGAATTCGCACTGCGGAAACGTCCGGAGGTCAACAGTATCCGGTGACCGGAGGTCAAGCGTCGGACACGGTCAAAAAACATGGTCGTATACAGATGATTGAAGAATGATTGAAGAATCTGTTCGGAAATCAATGCTTTCTTATAGGGATGTGGATTTCCACTGTGAAATGGGTGGCCCTAGGGCCCATAATTCGAATCCCTATGCTTTCTTGGAAGATCTTTCTGGTCTTGGTCCTTCGTCTTCATTTCCCCCCTCTCCTCACACCCCTGCAAGTTCGTTCACGTCTTTTTCTTCTTATTCGCCCCGCCGCCCTTCGCCCCGATGGTCCCGGAACCCTCACTCCACCGCGGCGGAGTACGTCGCGGCTTCAGGCCATGTCTACGTGGAGGACGGGACGTTGGAGACGCGTCGCGACGCCTTCGTGAACTACCACTTCAGCGCCCGGCGACCCGTTTTCCGTTCGCGGACGCACGGACTCCGCGTATGCGTCCCACTCCGCACCGTCGACCGGGCGGTGCGGGTCACAGAGGCCGTTTTACTTTTCGAACGATGCAGGTTGGATGTGGCACAAACAGGACACCCAGATTTCACACGATGTCACCCTGTGAAGAGTCTTCGGATGAACATCAAAGGCCCAGAACTGCTGCAAAGCTGCCGACGGGTCGACGCGTCGACGCGTGTTGGGTGCCACCTAGGGCTTTCAATTGGGTGGAAGGGATTTGACATATCCAAATATATATCCCAATTTTATCCAACTCTGATGGCGAGGCATGGGACCTTGCTTGTACAACGTTCTGGCCGTTCGAGCCATTCTGGAAGAGGAGACGAGCAACTCTAGAAACATCTAGAAAGCTTTGTAATCATATTACCTTTCGAAGAGATTTGGCAGAAGATCCACCCCCACGGTCACCGTTTTGAACCACGTTCCTCCCCAAAACCACTCCCCAAAGAAACCTCACCACTTCGAATCAGGGCAGCCGCGTTGGAGGCCGCCGGCATTTCGCCCCCCCAGCGGGTTCACCGCTCCGAGCCAAGGTCATTTGCATGGCCGGAGCTGCTCCGGCCTCGCTGCTGCCGCAGGCGGTGGTGGACGCGGTGGGCTTCGGTTGCCACCCGCTGGTGCCCACGGCTTATCATGAGAGGCTTCAGAGGTGGGGTGCGGCGGAGACGACGGTGGGGGCGTCAAGGTGTTGGGGGAGGGGTTGGGATCACACAAGACTGGCTGTTGGGGGACTCGACTAGGCCTCAACCATTGGGAGATAAGAATACCCTGATTTTCCTTTGCTTGGGTGGTCCCAAAGTAGTCTTTGGACTTCTAAGGAATAAGTAATTATACCAAACGGGTAGACCCATTAGAGAGCCCAGTGTTTCCTCATGATATTTGGATGTTTTCAAACAGCCACACGTGTGTCTCTGAACAGGATCCTCCCAACCTATTGCATGACCCCATGGCTGATCGGTGGGAGCACACCCTTGTTCCGGCAGGGTCTTCTTCCATTTGCCGGATGCAGTGCAGCCCTTCATTCGGATGCATCCCTTGATCCTGGAGACCTACCTGGATGACATGTGCCCAACATTTGGAGCAAGAGTCGGGCGTTGAAGGCAGTCGGCAGTCTTTGCAACCCGTCAAACTTCAATCATTCCCAGACACTCCATGATGGAATATATTCGGAATATTTACCTTGGTAGTTGGTTGGTTGGTTGGTTGGTTTGCATAATATATATATATATACACACTAATATATTCATATGCACACAATTTAACCTATAATTCTATCTCTCTCTCTATATATATATATATTACACAATTACACATATATAATTCTATCCCTCTCTCTCTCTCTCTTTCTAATTTTTGTATTCCATTCCCATGGGTCGTGTTGAGTGGGGCGGCATCAAACAGATTTGTCCCAGACAGGTCGCGTTTGGGTTGGCCTGGCTTTTGGTTCGCATCCAAGTGCCGAATCCTTGACCAGGTACAACAACCCCGACGCCTGGCGATCAAGAGCGGGGGCTTGTGCTTGATGGTTTTCAGAGGCACAGAGCTGGCAAAGAACAGATCACATGTTTTAAGGCAATTGTTTGTGGGATTCCCAGATTCATTAGTTGAATGGTAATTTCACAGAACTATTCTTGTACTCTAAGGATTTTAGACTACAAAACCAGAATCAACAATTCTTTTAATATTTTTTTGACGGCTACAAGTAAGGTAATGATTTCAAAAGTTCGATACTTTGCTCTTCCACCCACTAACATGAACGTGGAACACCACCTGTAGAGCCAGAGCGGGCCTAGTAGCGGGCCTTAGGGCGCAGCGCAGCACTTTCCTCGCACACCAACCATCGAACTTGTTGGGTACATCGAGTTGTCCTCTTTATTGCGCACATCTTGAGATGGCTTGGACTTGCTTCCGTGTTAGGTCAGAGTGTACCGAGATCAGCCAAACAATAGGTTGATGGCGCTGCGAACTTGTACAAACATACACGCAAGCCACACCAAAAAAGACATGAACAAAATGTGGCCGATCGAGTCCTCGAGACCTTGGACACAAGGTGTTTCGTCTCCATCGTTGCGTCTGACCCTGCTTTGATTTGCTGACCCTGCTGCTGGCAGCTGCTGGCAGCAGTGGTGCTCCAGATCTCTCCTTGTCCCCAGTGCAACAGAAGCCTAGGAAAAGAACGATGCGATGTACTACAAGCAAACCTTCCTCTTCCTGATGATGGATCTCTTCAGGTATCGCTATCGGCAAGACCGCTCGCCACTCGACCATGGAGGCTCTGCTTGTTGCGGTTCCGTGAGAGTACCAGCCACGACCAGTCTGGGACTGCCATAGGACTGCCGAGAAACAGCCAGGGGTGGTGTTTAAGGGGGTCAATGGGACGGCATATATGGCAAACATGGAGTGTTTGGGATGCTTATGAACTTATGGCCCTCTCTTCACTTTGCCCGCAACCGAAACTGCTATACCACTTGCTACCTTTTTCTCCAGCCGCAGCCCCAGCTGAACAACGGGCAAGGTGCACACCGGTATAGGTTTTTCATGGTTTTTCGAAAGAACACTTGCAAAACTCCCTCCCTCCAAAGGTGTTCACACCCAAAACTCGTTGGCAGCACGGTCCCATCCCGGAGCTTCGCTTGCGCGTGCCGCTGCCCCAAGCGCGACAAACGCCCCGAGGCTTCGTCTCAAGAGCTTCGCCTGCGCCTTGTGCCACCAGCGGGCCGGTGCAGACGCGCGGGACGAGGCGGTGTCGGTGGACACTGACGAGGCGCGGGGTGGGGCAGAGCGAGTGGCTTCGACCCGAGGCGTGGTCCGTGATTTCACCCTGAGTGGCTTCGACCCCCGGCCTCCTCCAAAGGATGGTCTAGGGTGTCTGGGAATGGACAAGGACAGACAACCATCTCCGGGATCTCTAGCCACACGCAGAAAGGGTCCAGGCACTGTGTGGACTGTTTTTGGTGCCTTCTGTCTTTAGAGGGACGAGTAGTGAAGTGTATAGTAGTAGTGGAGCACCATGCAGTGAAACAAGACATGCATTTGCACTGTGTGCATCTTCGTGCCTGCTGTCTAGGACTGTAGGGCATCATAGATCGACGATCGGGTTTTGCTTGACCAATGAAACTGTGACCTATCCAAGACACGTATTTAAGGGATCTATACCAGGAGCATCCAATGGGTGTCCAATGGGCTATACTATGGCTATACTAACTTTACTTAGGGATCTCCATTGGACACCCATTGGATGCTCCTGGTATATATTAACTCATGGCAACCCCATCAACCATCCAGTACATGCAGACTCTGCTGGCTCAGTTAGATTCCAATCAAGAGTTCTATCTTCCCTGGAAGTCCAAAAGGCTATTTTGGGGCCACCGAGGAAAAGGACATTCCTCTTCGGGTCACCTCAAGACTCAAGACTATTTCAAGCAGGGTCTTGGACTCCAGTCTCTTGGATTTGCTTTAGGATGCGCGTTCTCCGCTAGCTGAAGTCACGAAAGGTAGCCCTTCAGGGGATACCTTGAGTTTGTCTTGCGAAGCAAGTGTGGGCTCCTCCGGATCTAATAATTGATAGTTCAATTCAACAAGTTAGCTTAAGTTTCCCTAAAAAGTCTAGAAACCAGATCATTATACTTCGAGTGCCTCTTCAAGGAAGCTTCCCCGGGCGGCGGGGGAGCTTTCTTGAAGAATCGTTTTCGCTATCCTGCGTCCATACTAGCTGCTTCAGCTACTACTCCCTACCTTACCTCTAACTAGCAACTAGCGACTCCGTACCACACACAAATCCTTCTCGTTCTCCGTGTTCAGCCGCATGAGGCACTTTCTGCCGCTCACATCATCACAGCCTTCTGCCTGATGAGCCGGCGCTCAGGCGGCCGACCCCCCGTGCAATGCCGAAGCGGAAGCGGCGTCGCGGTTCCGCGGCAGCGTAGGAGACTAGACTGTATAGACTAACAAGCAGTTTCAGCAGCTCAGAAGGGATTTTGGTAGAGAGTTGAGACACAGTTGAGACAGCCTCTCCAGTTCTCATGCCATTTTTTTGTGGCCTTTGGATAGCTCTTTTTGATGCTTCAACGACTGCAGTGTTTTCCATCTGTGCCCTCTGAGCTGAGAAGCTATATGCGGTTTTGGAATGGACCTTAGACACATCCAACACGGTGAAGATGCGGACGAAGTCGCCCTCGAAGTCAAGAGGACATGGGTGCCGGAACCGACACGTCGCAGGACCCTTCCAAAGGTCCGTGCCATCAGCTTTGTATTGTTAATCTTCCAAGGTTTGCTTTTGGGGTGCAGATGATAACATGATCGACCTGTCTACCAGGCCTACCAGGCCTTCCGACCCCCTGGGTGCGGTTCAGAACATAGACCAGTCTGCCTACCCGGCTGGGGCGTGATTCCTAAGCAAGATGACCCGTCCAGGCCATGCCTTGCGGGAGGCCATCCGGAAGACGTGGGCTCAGCGGCTAGGCCAGCGGAGAAGCGTAAACAGCTGGTCGGACCTGTTCTTGGACGTATTTGGAGCTGTGTTTTGGGTTTATGGTTTTCACGTGTTTCTTTGATCAGAGCCACACAGCAGACACCTGGATAAGAACTTGTAGCCGTGATTGGCACCCTCGCCCTGCTAGGACCCGGTTCCACCTTGCGGTTCTTTGTGGGGCGGCAGGCAGAGGCTTTGGGGCCGGGCAGAGAGACAGCTTACACGTTTGGGAATGGAAAGGAAAGGGTTGCCGCCAAGCATAGGATTCGTGGCCTATGTTTCAATGTTTGAAGTAAGACTCATTTGACGGAGATGCTCCATGGCAAGTCAACCCTCCAAAGCCACCACGGAATGCTTGTTGAACGTCTCCCAAAAAAGCCGAACCGTGCAGGGTTCGGTCCCCGTCCCCGTCTCCTGCGCCACCCCCCGAGCATCGCTCCCCTCCCCGGTCCGTTCTCCCCGGAGGGCGGCGCCGTGGCGGGCGCCGGGCTGGTGGACTGGGACGCGGAGGACCTCGTGACCTTGGACGCTCCGGAGTCCTATGAGGCCGTGACGCTGAAGGCGGAAAGCGGAGGAGTTGGTCGAGAAAGAGGGGGTTAGAGTGGTGGACGCCCAGGGTGGGGTTTGATCTGAGTCACGGGTTTAGGGGGCATCTGAGTTCTTCCAGATCTGAGCAGATCTGAGTTCCAAAACACCAAGCACCGGTCTTCGATCGCTTTCAGGCCATGTCGATGCTCCATTGGGCCAGAGAGCACTTCCCACGGCTGCGGTATTTGATCCGTGCCTGGCCGTTCGGTGGTGGGGTCAGGGGATAGGGAACCCGAACACATGTTTCTGGTGCTTGACCACCCACCATCGGCCTCTTTTGAATTACTGTATTTTGAATCTCAACACGTGTTCCATCGTTTTCAGATGGTTTTAATACAGTTTCAAACACGAACAGATGGCCTTCAAAAGCATGACTGCCCAAACTTCTCTCCCTCAGCCCATAGAGTTTGGGTGAGGCTGAGGGTATCTTCTTGATACCCTCTAAGGTGGAGTGTTTCATCACTGCTTGGGCCAGGAGCGGCCAGGTGGTTTCCATCCGAATCCAGACTGGCCATTTGGTCATCTCAAAATGTGAAAACCGCATGAAACCACCCAGCCAAAGAATCAGCTGACGCAAAAACACACTTCAACCATCTCCAACAATACATGGCCGTGAGTTAAAACCCAGGGCCCCAAACCGAGTCCGTTGACCTCCTTAGGAGTCCGTTGTCCTCTTCGGTCAAGCAAGGTAGCCCTTCCGTGCCATGACTCGAGAAGGATGGTAGGATGGAGGGAGGCAGGTGCTTTCAGCGGTCCTTGTTACAGTAGCTTCTTGTTCCGTTCGTAGCGATGGTCTCCACCGTGCGTAGCTTCTTGCTACTAGTCGATCTCCTGCATGTTTTTCGCCCCAAAAAGACGGAGACGGACGTGTTCCTCCGGGATGCGTGGTCGGGCCATGGCCCAGTGGCGACGTCACATGTACAACGAACTACAAGTGGAAGAGAGTGGAAGATGACTCTGCTGCAGATTCACATAGAACCCCCAAACCGCTGGGTTGTAGAGGAAAGTTGTCGAAGCCACCGGTCCGGAGAATATCGCTCCGCGCTACTTCGTCCGAACGTGCGAGGTCGAACTGTTTGACGATTTGAGACACCAGGTCCACCCGACACCTTGTTCGTGGCCGAACGGAAGGCGACTTTGTGCATGTATTCATTAAAGTACGTCGTAGCACTGTATATGGCGTTTTCCATGCATGATGTGATGGTTGACCATGATCTTCCATGACGTTCCAGCTCCGCGTTTGGCTCCCACGAACACCCCAAACCTCCGTTCGCCGTCCTCGAGGCGCCGACGACGACGTCTACCTGCGCCCGGCGCCGTTGCTGCGGCAGCTGCACCGGCGGCCGCCGGTAGGAGCGGCGGAGCGACGGAGCGACCCGGGGTTCTTCGTTTGGTGGGTGGACCGAGTCGTTGCCTAGAGTCGAACTGTTCATTGCCTGCAGTGAGAACTCGTGGTTTGCCTGCATCCACCTGCGAGAGATGGAAGGATCTGTGGTTTTGCTACACTGGAACCATCTGGAACCACTGTTTTCCCAGTCGTTTACAGTAAGTTTGTATCTTGCTGGAGTTGACCCAAGTGGTTGGATGTTTTGGAGTGTTTCTAACACCTTCCAAGAACTTTCGAGTGTTGGTCACCAAGGCATTACCCCACACAATCCCCACACTAAGTCACACTTTTCTTTAAAATAAATAAACATAAAAATATATATATATATATATTATACCGGCCGCCTGGATCTTCTAACAGTGCAAAAGGAGGAAGACTCAACCCTGTCAACTGACACTTGAACCAACAGTAACTAACACTTCAAATCCCTTCAACCCCTCAAGAGCCGCAAGAGCTACACAATCTACGAATTTGTAGTCTCATTCTGAATTGCAGTCTCGCTCGCAATCTTCCTGGCCGCCTTTGCTGCCTGAAGCGTTCTGTCAAACTTCCATCTTGACATTGGGAAGCCATTGAAGTATTCAATCTGTGGGTTCTGGTCCCCACCTGCCCCTTAAGACCTTCTCTCTTCTTGGCATGGTCTAAATATGGCTCCAACATGCTCCAACCCATTTTCAACTGTTTCTGATTTTGGATTTCGCTTTTGGGCTGCTCTTTGCTTTGGGTGCTTTTGGCTTGGGTGAGGCTTTGTTTGGGTGCAGCCTTCCCCGTAGGCCTGCCAGGTTTTTGGGAGCGCTCTTGGCCTTTAGCAAGGGAGAAGGTGAGGCGAAGCCTCATCTTCTTTCTAGTTTCTGGTGGATAAGATGATGGGTCGCGGGTAGAGGTGCCTACAAGTCTTATAGGTGTTGGCTGCATTGCCCAAGCGGCATCCTCCTTGATGGTGTTGGCTGCATAAGCATGCTGTCTCAACTGTGGTAAACCGGTTCTTTGCCGCAGAAGTGATTTTTGTGGGCAAAAAGGCTGCAGGACGACCTTCCGTTCGAAGCTTCCACGAGTGAGAACAAGTGGAGCCAGTGGAGCTTCTCAGTGTTGGTTGGTTGAACGGGTCAGGTAGGGGGTTAGCATGGCTGACTCGCAAAAGGCAAGGCAAGTGAGGCACATTTCGGCCTTTTGCATGGTTTGGCGGATTAGAAGGCAGACATGTTGCATCGTTTCAAGCTCCACGTGTTAAACCTACAATGGTATCATTTCCTATAAAAGCTCATATTGGATCGGGGACACGGCAAATGGAAGGACTTGGGGCCAGCTCTTCGGCTTTCGGCGACTCACGCGTGCTGCAATACCAACTTTTGGTCGAATCAAGGAGGGTAGTGCAGGGTAGTGCCCAACTATTCTCGCTTGCTGGCTCTCTCCAGAATCCCAAAGTCGCTTCAACAGTTCGGCGGTCAGCCATGCTCGCCTGCCTTCCGGTGTCAGCTCATCGCAGAGGATATTTGTGGGGCAATTTCGACAGCGGCTCCACAGTGGTGCGGGACGAGACCCATCCGCATTACAATTCCGAGGAGCAGCTGCCGATCAGGTGCGGACGGTGGGTCACAGTGGAGACCCGAGGAGGGTGGTCATCCAACTCTACAGATCGCAATTTTGCCAGGACCGACGCCGTTTCAGGTGTCATATTCTGGGTGTCCAAAAGCCACCGAACTTGGAAGGTCTTGGTGGTGGCGGACGGTGGGAATTCTATGTCTAAGTCTGCAGGTGGTGACGAAGGAAGAGGTGACGAAGTTGGGTGGCGAGGTGGTCATGTTGGGGTGCCCCTACAAGATCGGACCTGGGACCTTGAGAGGGAAAAAACCAAAGAAGTCATGCGTCAAGGATTGGTTGGACGGCATTTGGAAAAGTCAAACCCAACATGATCCGAAAAAAAAGAAGCAAACCTGTGTTGGCAGGGCTAAAGTGCGCGGATCAAGACCATTCAAAAACACTTGCTTTGGTGCAGTGGTGTGACCTTGGGGCAAACAGCTCGTGCCATCTAAGTCCAGCTGCTTCAACCCTGGGACCATTGATTTACTATAGTCTATAGTGTTTTTTGCTGAGCAAACATGGTTTTACTAAGGATTCTCACTATAAAACCAAGGGCCAACCATTGTTTAAAATTGTTGTGGAACACCAGGTTTATAAGGTAATATCACGTTTCTGACACATAGGCCATGAAATTCACCGTTCACTGGGTGTTTCATGACTGGACGGCTTGACCGCTTCGCGGTAAACCCCCCCTCTTGGACATCTTGGCAACCTTGTGTCCATATCATGGAGCAGAAGCGTTCGGAACTCCGTGGGAACATGTGGCGCGTCTTCCGTTCGATTGAACATCACAAGATTTGTGGGTACAGTAATTAAGTTGTCCCAACCCTTCCCTCATGTTTTTCTCACTTACATCTCCCAAAAAATTTGGAAGATGATGTTCCTCTGAAACCAGGTGTGGCAAAGTATCAAGCATCTTTTGGGAAAAACAGTTGGCAGGGGTTTTCCAAGCATAGAGCGCTCTCCGTACTTGGATGTAACGGTTGCTCCTGAACCGTCAATGACCATCATGGCCGGTTCTTTTTGCACATGACTTTACAAAGGGGAAGGTTCCCTCCAAAGCAAGAAGATCACAGTTCCTTCTTTTGGGCGCACACGCTTCGCTTCAGCTGGTCGTCGGCATCCGGCAGGGATCATCCCATGTTCGGGGACATCTTCCCACCGTACGTGCGTGGGCATTTGTGGGTCGGGGATGCTCAGCTGCTGCTCCTGCTGATGGCGGGAGAGACAGCCTTTGTGTCGATGGGCGGGGTGAATCTGGGAGAGAACTGCGGAGGGATGGGGCCAAGGTCAGTGAAGGTGATTGAATTTGGATGTCGTTTAGTGAGGATTTGGGATCTGGGTCTAGTTAGCTCGGAGAGCCGTGAGGGGTTTGGTCTGTGACAGATCCAACTTCACCCAGCTGAGCTCTCTCTCTCTCTGAGTATGTTGCCAGATCGTATTTGAATAGGGAGACACACCGATCAGACCTTGTCACATTGTCAGAGTTCAAACCTTTTGTGAAAACATTTAAACAAAGGACATACCTCCAGTGGGTGTCCAATGGACTACACTAAACTACTTAGGGATCTCCATTAGTTGGATGATCAAGGCTGGTTTTGTAGTGTAAAATCCTGAACAAAAGCAATGGTTCTTCAGGATGGCCATTAAATCAGTCGCCTAGGATTCCACTGTCTGCCAAAAACTTCCCGAATCGAGTCCGCAAGAGGCGAGTTGGCGCTTTTTTGAACAAGCACACCCATAGGATTCAAGCAAGCAGCTGATTTGATGGGTTTGTTTGGGTTTGTTTTCACCGAACATTCATTGTTTTAATAAGGATTCATTAGAGAACAACACACACGAGGTCAGCCTTTTCCATGGTCGTTCTCGTTTCGTTCATGGTCTCCCGTCTCCGATGACAAGAAGGGCCACCGTTGGACCGGCGCCAGGCAACGGCTCACCGGCCTCCGGCCGGGCTCAGGATGGAATCCATGTGGGTGATGGGTCAAACAAGACCTGTAAAACCTCACGTGGGGGGTGGCCTTCATTTATGAGTCCGGTGTTTGGAACCAGACCTGGGAATCATTGGAGTGATGATCGTGATTGAACGAACCCCCTTTTTTCGGGTCCACCGGTTCCGTCCACTCTGCCACCGATCTCCGCTGGCCGCCCGCGATCCGCTGCCGATGTGAGGCGATGTCCCACGATCTGCTGACGCACGTGGCGGATTGGTGGGCGGAGCAGCTGGACGCGCTGGGCGAGGCGGCGGGCGGGCGGTGGACCGCAGTCGATCCGCCAGGATTGTTGGGCAGGGCATTCTATAGACCCCGTAAGATCCGTAAGGAAGGTGCTGGTATACCTGTATATACACACCATGATACACCTACATTCCCTTTTCATCCCTTTTCAACCACAGTCTATAATCGAGCCCACTAGTCTATTGATCTCCCTCATTATACCACCATTGATCCCTATAGTCTATTATAGAGCAAACGACTCCCCGTCGCAGGTCCGTGTCCTGAGAGATCGCTCGAGTCTCCTCTCGCTCTCTCGTGAGGCGGTGTCCTTGGAGCTGGCCAAGCGCTTGCCTCATCCGGACGATCCCGCGCCCTGGCCCTGTACAGGGATGAAGGGGTCCGAAAAGGGAGGAGGTTTCCGGCCCGCCCGCGGGGGTGAACACTTGGCCGGTCGGACTGACTCGCGTCGTCCATCGTCGTCCTATTTCATGTGTGTGAAAAACGTGATTGTGTGGGTGCCACCGCCACCCTTGAACATCCAGAAAGAAAATCTGAGGGAGTCTTTTGGTTTGTTTCGTTCTGAACATCCTCAGTGCGGTTTTTGGTGTGTCGACTGTGCGGGTGTCTGTGTTGGAGTGACGACTGAGAGTGACCCGGGAATCGCATGGAATCGCAAGGGTTTGGTTGGCCCTCGCGGCCCTCGCGGCCCGCGAGACCTCCTAACCGAACATGAAATGATACTGCCAGACCTGTCTGATCGCCTCACCTACTCGTATCATGTTGTTTTGACTACCCGCGCGGCATATCTATTTCGTTAATTTGGAGCGCCATGTTCAAAGGTTTTCTCGCCACATATCATTCTTCCGGCACCTTCATGTCGGGGTCTCCAATGGAAGCCCCAGCCCACTACTACGGGACCTCCAGCCAGGACACCCCTTTTTCGGGTCCAGGTTTGTAATGTTCTAAATGGACGGTTCTAGAGCTGCTCTAACAGTTCAGTGGGTCGGTCGATTCAGAATGAGCCGACAGTGGATGTTTGGTCAAAAGCGCCAACATCCCCCTTGCCTACCGCCACAACGAATGGGACCATGGGAGAGACATCGTTCAGATCATTTCTATATTAGAATCAACACGAACCAAATATACTAAGAAACTATGCTATATGACTATATGAATCAACTATGTCTCAGTCCAGTATCGTTTAGTTCTGGATCAGTCTTTGGCAGCTTCCCAATCAACAGCTGGCCAGTCCGGATGCCCCACCGCCCCCGGCGTCGTTCCGCCGCTTGCGGTCCACTGCGTCCTAGGCGCTGGGCGTGGCCATTGCCCAGTTGGTGGACAGAGGCCGAAGACCAACCCGTTCATCCGGCGGAGTTCGGACGGACCGGAGTGCATCGCAAGCTAGCGCGTGGGTTTTTGGCCCCAGACACGACCAGTCTGGGACTTGCATAGGACCGATCAGGCCAGGGGTGGTTGACTGGGGGTCAATTGATCGGCATATATGGCATACATGGAGTGTCTGGGTACAGTGGTTTCAGAGGTCAGTTCGATGGCACGTTTCCACCCCCAGGTGTCGAAACGACAGATGGGGTTCGATGTTCCATGATAAACCACCGACAGGGATTGTGCCATCTACCCCGAAACGACTGTAGTCAATTGGGCGCAGCCCCCCCCTTTTGCACTGGGTCAAGGTGTTGGTGCATGTTACTGGCTGGCCTCCAGCTAGATCGTGCGGGCCTGAACTTCTTCTCGGCGTGAAGGCCCAGCCTAAACCCTTTCAGTTCTCTGTCTGTATAGAGTCCCTACAGAGTCGGTGTTGGAACCGAGTTGTTGGCTTTTTTTTCTTGCTCATAAACCACGTTAATAATGGAAGATATGGAAGTTTCCCATGCACCAGCCTGTAACGCTGACTGTTGATATATTAAGCATGCAAAAACTGGATGTTTACAGCATCTTTTTAATCAATTTGGCTGTGTATTGAAATAGGGAGACCTCCAGGCATTCCGAAAGGTTCGGAAACTAGACCAGTCTACCCAGCCAAATAGTAAGCCCATACCAGGGCCCCCTAAGGGGTGTCCAATAATAGCCCCTTGTAGAGGCTAATGGGTGTCTATTGACCACCCCTAAACTGGGGGCACTGGTCTTGGTCCTTCTTTTGTGACTCCACCGGTCAACCTGTCCTGCCGGTCCAACCCTCCGCGGTCGCGGTCCGGCTTCGAGGTCTCCTCAGTGTCGCAGTGGACGACCGAGATTTGAACCACTTCGCCTTGAACCCCTCGTGCAACGTGCGGTGGCCCGGAGGCGCCGGCTTCGGACCGAAGCCCAACAGCGCCCAGAATAGGTTCGGGCGCGCCAAAGCGCGGGTGTGTTGGAGGAACAGGCAGGGGTTGATAGGATTCTGATTATGTTGGCCTATGCCTATTGTGGATTGCATACAGTGAACTTGTTTAAATCATGTTCAATAATGGTACGTTTAGTATTATATAATATACATTGTGTGAATTTGAGCAGGGGATAAATATGACATAATATGAACTTTGGAAGTACTAGTACAAGTGGCAGAAGATTCATCAAGTACAGCGGGGACCTCGTCGCAGTTATGGCAAAAAAGGACTCCTCAAAAATGACTCGGTCCCCTTTTGCAGCTTCAGAAGTCCACACGAAAAACGCATGATGCGTTTTCGACCGCCCTCCCTTCACCATCTTCACCCCATCGCACAACCTCCCCTCTCTTCCCATCTCGGTGTTCCTTTTCCACCCCAAAAAGGCACCTGAACCTGTGGCTTGGGAGGGTTTGCTCCAACGTCCTCAGACGTCCCCAGGCGACGTACCTCAACATCCACAATCGGACCTGGGTGGTGCACCACGTCACGCCCCAGGAGCTCCCGGCGTCCTCGCAACGGGGGTTCGGAGGTGCCCGGAGGTCATTTCGATCTGCTGATTTTCCACCAAGAAACTCAAGAAACCCATAGGAAACCCATTCCAGCACCTTCCTTACGGGGTCACCAATGGAAAGCCCTCCCTCCTATTTACGGATCTTCAGACAGGACACCCCGACTGGAGATACAGGAGGTAGAAGCCCACAGAACCTCCAAGATCCTAGAAATTTGACTTCATATGAATCCAGTGCTGGCGAACAGCTTCGTGTTTGCGGAGCAGACCAGATCCAACGATCGTTTCATGCATACCGAGTGTTTTGCTTGATTTTTCTTGGATCCATTATGATCCATTATAATCCGTTGACATTGACGTCAATGTGTTTGCATCGCATATCGCGTGATCGGCATGCGCACACCCCTCTCACAGATTCGATCGCCAGACGATCGAATCCCATCATGGAAGATTACCATGGAACCTGAAAAAGAATACCTTGGAAGACTATTTTCCTCCACAAATTTACAATTCAGATAATTCAGTGGTTTTCAATTTGATGTTAATTTTGCCAGGTGTATGTGTTGATGCTGATTATACTGATTCCGGCGATGGGATTGGAATCGTTGGGCTACAGTGACCCCTGCAAAGCCACCACCTGAATCCTGATTTTGCCTAGAGGGATACTTAGGATGATTTGATGTGAGTTGGATTTTCCCCCAACTGGAATCTATGAAGCATTTTCCGGGGGAGATGTTTTAACAATTTTCCGGTTCCTGAACAGCAAATCCAAGCTCATGTAACATGCAGGTCAATCTGCCTGTCGCATGGGTCCTGTTTGGGTGATCGCTGGCCATGTGGGCGAGAGCGGCCGTGGCCGTGTGCTGGCCAAGATGGTCGAAGTTCCGTTGGCATCACAGGGCGCGCAGGCAATACATCTGGCCAAGGGTACAGTAGTGAATCCAAAGGGGAGTCGAACCCCAGGCCAAATCCTGGGCAACGCTTTTCCCGCGAAAAACATCTGGACACTGAAACTTGCTCTGCAGAGCATCTGAAGAATCCAACCAGCAGATGTGGTTGATGGGTATCCTTGCTTGGCTCCCCATCTCCGCAGGCGTGGTCTTTGCTTTTGCTTCCTCCGAGACAGCGCAGCTATTGCGCGCTTTGGGCTCGCTGCTGGACGACCTCACCCGTGCCGTGCAGAATCACTTTGCTACCATTGAGCAGCATGGCGTGGTGCTCCCAATGTCTCGGCAGCCAGTGCGCCGGTCTATATTTTGGACTTGCGCCTGGTGCCCCATGGTTTGCATGAGTTGTGTCGGCGATACTACGCAGTGACCGAGGAAGCTGTGGAGACCTCGGTGAGATTGTGACCTCTGCTACTGCTGGCAGCGCTTTCTCACACTGGCCGGTTGACATGAACTGCGTTGGACCTGCTTGGGATCCCACACTGTCTGCCGCCATGCAATGGCTGCAACGCGGCCTGCGCATCCAAGTGTGGCTTCCGGACATGCTGATTCCGCAGCCTTTCAGTTTCGGCTTCCTTCCTGCTTGGCTTGCGTCGCACCTTTGTTGTGCAAGAATTCAGAGACATTGTTTTACGTCCTTTTGAACTATCTTAAATTTATACAATACAACCTAGATTATGTGACGGCGGTCTAACATCGACCACCGCTCATTGGAGCCCCTCTCAGGAACACGCCGACCCCGCTCCGCTCACGCTCAGGTTAGTTGCTCATGGCTGGAGATCACCAAGCAAAGCCCCAAAGTTTTGGTCAAACGATCCTGCGATAGCAGAGTCATGTCTAGGCTCATCCGCTTCTTCTTGCACGTAGGCCATGGAGTGCTTCTGGTCCATCGATGAGCAGTTCGACCCGCTGGAACTACCGGATTTGTGCGCTTGTTCCATGGAGGTGGTAGAGGAGTGCGTTCCGAAGTCAGACCCGGGAACAGACCCACATGAAGCCTGAGAGTTGACCTTTGGAACTTGGAAGACTAGCTTCCTCCACAAAGCAGTGGTTTCAAGGTTCAATGTTACTAGACTTATATTAAGTTTCCAGGGCATAGGCCTTTTGGAGTGCAGTGGAATGGATGAGGGAGTGGATTAGGTGAGAAAGGAAACATATGTGGCTAGAAATGTTTGGTGGGAGTGGATTTGTTTAGGTGAAAGAGGACATATACCAGCGCCCTCCAACAAGTGTTTCCTGGTGACAGGTGCCCAAAACACGGATCTGATAGGGTGTCCAAACAGCGTGCGAGTCCTGGTATGTGGTTTGAAGAGCTTCGGGTTTGAAAGAAAAACAAATCGAACATTTTACATTTCCTGAAACAACCATGGAAGATATGCAAGTGGGTGGCATGGCCCCTGGAGGAACATGAAATCCTCTACAAGGGGGGTCTGCACAGCTTCCATGGATCATTTGAGGGAGGGTCCGGGTCATGTGCTGAAAAATACAGATCAAAAAAAACGGAATCATCGTTTCTGGACGCATCTCGCCCAAAAGATACACTTCCCGCAGCACGAAATCACGCGGGTTTGCTTCAAAGACAGATCCACAAGGCTCCGCAGGAATCTCCAGTCAGACACGACTCCAGATCATAAGACGGGGTGTGTAAACAGGGTCTGTCCCAATAAACCTGGAGTCCGGCGGCAAAAGAGCAAATCAATATTTCAACTATGTCGGCCTGCAACTGACTGAACCATCATCATCCACTGGGCCCTGGTAATGGGAAATGCCCAAGGTGTGTAGCTCTGATAGGGAGACCTCCCAGGCGTTCGGACTCCGCAGAAGAGACATATACCAGTCTAACCAGCCAGGGGCGAGAAAGGGGAGACCCCGGAATACTCCCTAGTAAAATTGATTTGGGTAGTGTAAAATCTCTAGAAAAATCGCTCGGTTGTTCGGTAAAGGATGGTAAAGGCAACGGCTATATAGATTCCATCAATGGTGGGCTGCGACTTCGATGGGAACTCATCGACGCGCCGTGAACGGTGGCTTTGCGTCCAGCCACCGTTCGCGGCCGATGTTCGTATGTGACGTGGGGCCCCATGTTTGCCAAAAGAAACCACCAGAGGACCTGAGAGAATCGAAGTGGAAAACGAGATGGTGGGAACCTGTATACAGTATACCTGTTTGATCCTGTTTGATCCTGTCTGTAGAGTGGCCATTGCCATCCAATCTCCGAGGGGCCCATTGCCATCCACTTCGATGTCAGGAGAAGTCAGGCAATGAGGACGACGACGACTTCGACTATCCGCGCCATCGCTTCAACGAGTAGATCGACCATCCTCCGACCATGTCTCGACCATCTTCGAGCAGTTGGGGCGGCGGAACGTCCGCGGGTGGAAGTTCCGCCCAGTCGAGGCGGACGATGTTCTCAAACAACGCGCAGCCACGCAACCAGATCTGGGACTGGAAGATTTGGACCCATTTGACCCCTGTCTTGTCGGCAGCCAACGGGTCCACCAAGTCCCATCCGAGCGAGTTGAGCCAAGACCGTGTGAAAACAATCACGTGGGATGAAAGGTCAGGAACTAGATGAGAATGCTTAAATCGGCATAGGAATGGATAGGATCAGAAATCATGTTTTTATAGATTTTCCATCACATTTCCATCGATTAGGAACATGTCCGACCACACCTGCACGTCCCACCGACCGTTTGGAGGTTCGCTGGCCGCCACGGGCCGCAGCAGTCGCTCCGCAAAGGCTTTGCTCGGAGGCGAAGGCAAGTTTCGCCCGGGCCGGACGCGTTTTGGACGAAAAGCGCGACGTGTCAAAAAGCGTTTTGGACGAAAAGAAAGCCGCGACGTGGAGACAACACGTCGTCTTCTCCGGCAGTTCTGGCTGTTCGCAGACTATCCATGGGACTGGAATATTTACCTTGACCCCTGAATTCAACTACCCCAGCTGGTCGGCAGTCCTATGATCGAATATGCCAGTCCCATTTTCGTCATTTTCGTCAGTCGTGTTAGGACGTGGACGGACATAGGAAGGACGTGTGGCTGGTCGTCCACGACAGCACGAATTGGCCACTTTCGGCCAGCAGTCGTCCACTTTCGGCCTCTCACCATGGTGTGGTGAAACGCCCCCCAACCATGAACGACGAAGTGTAGTTAGAACATGTTGGAACCATGAACGGAGGGCCCACCAGCGCCTGGCCATCTCAGGTGCCAAGCTTCGTTGAGTTCCAAGCAGCAAACCGCTCAAACAAATTGGTCTTTGTGTGCCAGGAAGCCAGTCCAAACATGCACCCGCCGAGAGCCTTGCCCGCAGGATTCAGCATGATTCAGCACTGAACAAAGACGCAAAGTGGTTGATAGCTTTCAACCCCAAAAGTTTGCAAGCTGTTGGATTACTTTCAGTCGCCAGCTAGTCTTGATAACTTGCTCCACATCCGCTGCATGGTGAATTCCTTTTGCTCTTGATGAAGAGGGCTTCTATCTCCATTTACGCAGCGTCAACGGGTGGTTTACAAGGTTTTATCCAAGCACGCAAGGTTTTTTTTTTTTTTTTGTGGGGTTCAAGACATCCAGTGGTTCAACAGGGTTGGCATTTTTTCTCAGGGCATTCCAAAACCGAGAGTAGTGCCGAGTGGCATACCTCGTGTCTTGTTTGGCCACACACGGCGTCACAAAGTGCGCTGACTGCATGTCTTTCCTGATCTTGTACTTTATTGTACTTTAAAGTTATAATTTATAATACTTTATAGGGTGATATAATCAGTGATATATGATATATATTCTAATTAACATGCTTTTGTGATGATTCCTTTTCTGGAGGAGACCGTTTTCTGGTTTCTTAGAGCAAATCCAAGCTTTGCATCAACCTTGCCCCAGGACTGAGGGCCCCACTGGTGACAGCTACAGCGTCCACGCACCAAAAAGAGTGAGTGGCGAAGTGTGACAGGTGGAATGCCAGGGTCCTGCAATTGTGGTGGACGGTCTTCGAACTCTGCCCAGTGTTGGAACCCTTGACCTTTCAACCCTGATGTGGATCCACATTGGAGGGTGGGACGGACGGGTGCTGCTGTGACCCTTATTCGTACCTTGATCTCTGACCTTTTATGTAGTAGGGTCAATGTGTAATTTGGGCGTTGTGCTCTATCTGTGTTGGTTATGTAATTGTTTGTTGCTCAATTCTGGGGCCAGAGTGCCACTCCGATCTTCTCTGCTCAAGACAACCAACAATCCTCCCCGAGGGAGGCTTTTTGGATCCACCGACAAAGGCAGAAGCCAAATTGAATCCATGGCCAGTTTACAAGCGATTTTTTGCACCCACCCGAAGTGGCATCATATTCATTTTTAATAGATAGCAGACACCGCGCAATCCTTCTGTACTGTCTGGGCCTTTCCAAGGCTGGCGGATTTGGGAACCTGCGACGGGAGGGGAACTATGTCTTGAATCGCTTCAGGACAGACACTGTCTGTTTGGGCCATAGGGGGGCCGGACCGCCTTCAAAAAGTATTTAAACCATCAATTGACCTGGTGGTGTAAAGCCCTTAGTATGGCCTGATGCTTGTTTGGGATTCAGGCTATTAAATGATAATCAATATGGGTTCCAATCCTGGGGAGACAATGATAGATGCATCCTGTACTCTGAGAGTTTCACACCATATAGGTTTTGTTGAAAGAACTGGAGACGAAAGCCCGGAGCTCAGAGCGGTGTTTGGTTGTGCATTGGTTCAGACGCGCTAGGGAGTCTGGCTGGCTACTTAAGTGGAAACAACACGATTTGGGCTCTATTCCAACCCAGAACCTGAATGACATCTATTTTGGACCATCAAACCGCCCAGCATAGGCTTTCTTTCCGAAACCGACACCAGGGCTATCGGTGTGGGTTCCACGCTCCGCTGGTGAAACCACTTTTCTACAGCTCTGCTTCCAGCTCCGCAGCGCGCGCGGCCGGACGCCTCTGGGGCGTCGGGTTCCCTCTTCCTTCCGCGAAGAGCAGGATGGTTTTGAGGCGAAAAACCACACGAAAGTCACCCAAAACCACCTCAAAACCACCTCCGCCCATCTCCTCCCGTCTGCAACCTCACACGATGGTGGGGGCTTTCTACCCTCTCTCACCCTTCTCAGGGGGTAAATCCAGAGGAGGCGATCCAGATCCGAGGTCCCAGGCTTCGCTCCGCAGGCTTCGATACAGGCTGCGATGGCTTGGGGCAAGCCAGTGCCCAGGGACCTCAGCATGTCCGGGAGCTCCGGTTGCGTCGATGCGTGACGATGTCACCACACCGTGCGCACGGCCCGGGGTGAAACATGGTGAAACTCAAAGACATAGATGGAGGTTTTCACAAATGGGGGCCAAACCGAGGGAGGTGTCCAACTGCCACTTAAACATCTCCGGTCACCAAACCCACCAAGGGTTTATGATTCAACCAATGAAGAAATTTCAGGATTTGCCACCCCCTCCCATTTCTGGACACCCCACCTAGAAAGGATGGGTCTGTTTCACCTAGAAAGGTCTGCTCCACCATGTCGTGAACGACACGGCTGCCGGTCTCCTGGTGCCACGACCGGGCCGAAGAGGGTTTCAAGCGACCCGTTCGTTGGCTCCGGGAAGGTTGGGTGTCCAAAGCTCCTGGTTTCGTTGGATGACGACTGTATGATGGTTGGTTCCTCATGGCTGGTGAGGTGAATGCCAAAACCACAGACAGACTATGACACACTACTATGACAGACGGACTATGACAGTCTAACTGTTAGATACTGTTGGACTATACTTATTACTTATGACTATAGTTGATCGTCTTTACAAATAGTATACCGCCTCGTCGTGGTCACCATCCGTTGTGGGCGGAACTATCCGTGGTCGTCGTGCTGATGCTGCCAGGCGCGATGTGCTGATTCTGCCGGGAGCCCACGACGCATGAGTGACTTGAGGACCTGGGCCTCCCCAAAAGACGTGGGTTGAAGAAGGACCTGGTTGCTTGTCCATGAAAATCCACGCCTTCTTAAAGAATTCCTGGGCGTGGGTCAAACCCATGGCCTCCAGTCGCCTCCAGTTCGACCATGAAAAGGAGGTCGAAACCTTGTCCTGGCCATAAAGATTCTTAGTAAAATCATGTAAAAAGAAAAGTTTTTTTTTTGGGGGTATTCAAGCCCGTCAAATTATATAATGGTTGAAAGATGTTGAAAGCTTCAAGCGGTCAAGCGAGCCCAGCTTTTTACTTCGATCTGTGTATCAAGGGAGCTCAGCCCAAGCCGCTTGGAATACAGTTGAAACACACATGCTGGTTTTGACTTATCTGTGTAGGTCAAGGTCCCTGGATCTCAGACCCAAAGAACGGATGGAACTCGAGGGATTTCTGACATCAGCAGTGTTCTTCTTTTTGGTTCGGAGTTGATTTGGATTTTGAGATGGAACAGAATTGGGAAGTTGTGCAGAGAGAAATTTAAATATATATAAGTGGCTGACATGGGCTGAACATGGGCGACTGAAAGGAGGAAGCAAAAGAGTGGCTGGGTGAAGCAGGCAGAGGATCATTAATAAGCATTACACTACACTGGATTCGGAAGCAGACTCGCCTCCACCAGGCCTCGCCAGCGTAGAAGTCATGTGAGTTCACATGTCTGCGGATCCATTTGACTCGATGGCGTATTGTTCACATGTCGTTTGGTTCCTCACCCAGATGAAAGACATTGGTTCCACTGTATCGTCGCTGAGGAATTCTCAGATCGAGAAAGAGGAACGTGCCGGGCCCTGAGTCTTACGACCACTCCAGCATCGCGGTGTTGGACATCGCGGACGGCCGATGCGACCTGTTGGACATCGGTGCAAACACCTGTAATTGGCACCACCATGCACCACCAAAGTAAAGGACATTCCTTTGCGGATCACCGAACGTCAGAGCATTTTGGTACATGTTGCTGATCGAAAATACCAGTGCATCGCTCGGAACATACGTGTTCCTCATGCGGCGCTCATGTTCCGCTGGCAGAACTTCGCAGACCGGGGTCCCGAGTCCCGAAAGTCAATTTAAAGCGGATAGACTCCATAGCGGTAGCGGATATATATATATATATATGCTAATATAATATATATATGCCCAACCAGTTTGGAGCGACATCCCAGGTCATGGTGAAGGCTTATGAGAAGGACTTGGAGACCAAGCGCAAGTCAGCCGTCCCAGTCGTCCGTGGGCGATTCCACCGTGGGGTTTTGGCCGTTCACATCGTGGCAGTCGCCACATCGGCTCATCACATCGGAACATGTGGGGTGTGAAGGGGCGTAGGTCAAGAGGTGAAGGACTTGGAGAGTGCGGCCCAAGTAGAGTTCAAGATCTCGGGGGGCCCCCCCAAAAAAATAGTAAAATGTAGATTCTGAGATTTAGACATATATATCATAACTACCTAAAAACTCACATATAAATTAACAATCTTTTTCAATTTGTAGATTTATTTTATATAAATATGCTTTCATAATATAAATCAGAAATGCTAAATAAAACATAAACCTATTTTTAAACTCATTCATTTTCTTTCTTAATAACTCATTTTTAATCAACACCTAATAGTTACACAATCTTATTCATTTTTAAAAAATAATGAAAACTACTTCCCAGAAAATCAGAACTATTAATTAATTTGCATAGCTCATTCATTTCTAATTTACAAAATCCTTATGAAATAAAACAGTTTTCTCTTTAATACATTTACTCCCAGAAAATGAATTTACACTTTACCATAAATAACATTCATCTCATGATGAAATTTCTAAAATTTGTAGTTTTCAAAAATCTAAAACTTTCATTTTTCAAAATTTCTAAAAATTATATTTATGAAAGTTTCTAAACTCAATATTTTTGAAAATTTCTAAAATTTGTAATTTTTCAAAAACTTCAAAATCATTATTTCAAAAAAAACTCATGAGTCTTAAAATTAAGTTCTAATTGTAAGACATATGGATTAGTCATCTGTTTCAATACATACTCCGATAGTAAAGTAAAGTTTATGAAGTTGCACCCTTTCATATTCTTCATTGCATTGACTATCAACTATATCAAACATTTCATCACAAAGTTCATCTAATGCTCCTTGAATATCATCTATGTCTGTTCGGATATCAGCATTAAACGTTCTTTGTTTGATAGCAAAAGGGTCATCGCTTTCAAATTCCTCTTCGTAATCACATTGCAGATAGAAAATTAAATCCTTTTCCATATCAGGTTGAAGATACATTATATGACTTTTGTCAACTAATTGTTTGATATATTCTGTTTGCTTCAAGATGAGGTTTAATACATAACTCAAATTTTTAACTTTCGGTTCTATTTCAAAATATATATTTTCAATTATATCGCCTCTATGATGGTCCATATGAGTTTCCAATCCATAAGTTCTTGGTTTATACTTCTTTGTATTTCTTTCAATCCTTGACTATTCTTCATTTTAACATACTCAGGATCTCCGACTTGATAAGATACAATCTTGCTCAATACATCAACAGGTAATTGTCCAAACTCCATTTTCCACTATTATACTAAGACTACAATTCTTTAAGTAGTTTTTCTATGAAAATGACTTAAAGAAATGTAACTCATATAAATATATAGTATTATATCATGAAGAAAGTTTTAGAATATCTTCTCAAAAACAATTTAGCAGAAATACCAAAAAGAGGAAAAAAAGAAATGAAGTCAATCGTTATAGATGACAGAAAATTCAGATTGAATAAAGACAAGCCAATATCAAAGGTTTTACAAAAGAAACTATTGTCAGTAAAAAACACTAATGAATACAGAAGCTATGCACTCAACAAAGCAAAAGATGCTTTTAATGATGGAAGAGTAATAAACTTATTAACCAAACACACAGTAAGAAATAAATTTAGAGAAAAAGATGTTAAATCTGCTTTCAAGAATTATGCTAACAGTGTCACATTGGAAAACAAACATTTTGAAGGTGAAAGAGGTTTGGAAATGATAGCTCATCAGAAAAACAAATTGAACGACTTTTTAAGAAATAATAGAAATATGAAACTTAACATCAGAGCAGAGGTTTTTTTTATTTTTTAACAAAATGTAGAAGAAGATGAAGAAGAAGTAGTCGAAACTGAACAAAGCTATCATTTACCCGCCACAAGATATAACATAAGTAACGAAGAGGAATTAGCTGATGCACTTGAAGACAGCACAAAGCAAATATTGTTAAAAATCCAAGATTTAGAAGGCACTAAATCAAACTTAAACTTTCAAAACATATTATCTATAACATTGCATTTTGATAAATATGACCCAACAAGAGCCGGTAGTTTTATTGAATTACCAAGGTTCATAAAATTAAAAAAGGCATGTGTGAATATCAAAAATCAAAATAATCAGTGCTTCAAGTACTGTGTGCAATCAATCGTTTATGATAATATTAACAAACATCACCCCGAAGAAATGTTCCATTATAAAAATATAAACGACGATATTATCAACTGGGAAGGTGTTAAATTTCCAACTGGAAACAGGGACATAGATAGGTTTGAAAAAAACAACAATGGATTAATTTCTATAAACGTGTTTGAAGTAGATGATGTTTTGAATGATGAGAAGGTAATCAAGCACAGAACCACAAAAATGAAGTATGCAAAATATCACATTGACCTCCTTAAGATTTATGATAAAGATAAAAAATCTCACTATGCGATAATCAAAAATATCAGTAGATTATTAAACTGTCAAATCAACAAAAATGAAAAGTCAAAGCACATATGTAGATACTGCACAACTGCATTTTCAAGAAAAGATTTATTGGATAAGCACATTGAAAAAGGATGCATGGCAATAGAAGGACAAAATATTAAACTACCAGAGAAAGGTGAATATTTAGAATTTGAAAAATACAACACTAAATTGAAATGTCCTTTTGTAATCTATGGAGACTTTGAATGTCTAACAACTACGACAAGTGATGGAATTAAAGGGACATATCAACATCATAAACCTTGTGGCTACATGTTGAATGTAAAGAGTTCAATTGATAACTCATGCCAACCTTATCTATACAGAGGTGAAGATTGTATGGATAAATTTGTTGAACAATTATCTGAAATCAAAGAACATATATTGAGTAAAATGAAAACAAACTTACCAATGGAAAAACTGTCAGACGAACAACAGCTACAATTCAAAAACGCAACAAGATGCTCAATATGTAATAAAAAGTTTCAAGATAATGATGAAAGGGTGCGCGACCATTGTCACTTCACTGGTAAATATAGAGGATGTGCTCACAATAAATGCAATCTTGATTACTCATGGAGATATTCCAAAATTCCAATTTTCTTTCATATCTTAAAAACTATGATGCTCACTTAATAATCAATAAAGCCAACGAAATAAGCACTAAATTAAATCCAAACAAAGAAATAACCGTTGTAGCTCAAAATTCTGAAAAGTTCATTACCTTTTCATTTGGTTCATGTGAATTTAAAGATAGTTTTGCATTTCTTACAGCTTCATTAGACAAATTAGTAAAACTAAACAAGTATGATGTAATAGGCAAAGATGAAAATGATAAACCAATATACAAGAAGAGAGAAGGTTGGCAAGAACAGTTTAAACAAACGTCATCAAATCCTTATGTCAAAAGTAAAACTGATTTAATTAGATTTACTAACTGAAAAAGGAGTTTATCCTTATGACTATATGAATTCATTTGATAAATTTAATGAACAACAACTACCATCAAAGGAACATTTTTACAGTCGTCTTTACGAAGAACAAATAACTGACAAAGACTATACAAGAGCAAACGTTATATGGAAACATTTTGATATAAAAAACCTTGGTGAATATCATGATTTATATCTAATGACTGATGTATATTTATTGACTAATGTTTTTGAGAATTTCAGAGACATGTGTTTAAACTATTATGGCATTGACCCTGCATATTATTTAACCTTACCTAATTTTGCATGGAATGCATTTTTACATTTGACCAACATCAGACTTGAACAAATACATTTAAAAGAAATGTATGAGATGATCGAGAAAGGATTGAGAGGAGGAATGACACAATGCACGTATAAAAAGGTAGATGCAAACAACAAATATATGAATGAACAATATGATAAATCAAAACCATCTTCATTCATAAGCTACTTGGATGCTAATAATCTTTATGGCTTAGCTATGTGTAAAAAATTACCTTACGCTGATTTCAAATGGAACTTTAGTAAAATAGATGAGAAGAAAATATTGAACTACAATGGTGAAGATGATATAGGTTATATATTGGAAGTTGATTTAGATTATCCTGAACATCTACATGATTTACATAAAGATTATCCAATGTGTCCTGAAATCATGACTGTCCGTGAAGACATGCTTTCAGACCTTCAAAAAGATATATTCAAACAATATTATGACAAAGAAGCCTCTGATGAAAAAACAAACAAACCTATACTAAACGTAATGGACAAGAAAAAATATGTATTGCATATATCTGCACTCAAATTCTACTTAGAACATGGTTTGAAATTAAAGAAGGTGCATAGAGCAATTAGTTTCAAACAATCTTCTTAAAACAATACATAGAATTCAACACTGAAAAGAGAAAGAATGCAAAGTCTGAATTTGAAAAGGATTTATTCAAGTTAATGAATAACGCGGTATATGGTAAGACAATGGAAAACGTGAGAAAGCATTTAGATTTCAAGCTGGTTAATTCACCAAAGGTATTTCAAAAATTAGTCAATAAGCCAACATACAAACACAGGTTTATCATTAATGAAAATCTGGTAGGAGTTGAACAAGAGAAAGAAACCGTAGAACTTAACAAGCCAATCTATATGGGTATGTCTATTTTAGATTATTCTAAAACTCACATGTATTCGTTTTACTATGATGTTTTGAAACCAAAATATCAAGATAATATTAAATTGGTCTATACTGACACTGATAGTTATGTATTCAAAGTTGAGACTGATGACATATATGAAGATTTTACAGAGATTAATGAATACATGGATTTTAGTGATTATCCACCAGAGCATCCAAACTATGATAAAACAATCAAGAAGGTATTAGGAAAATTCAAGGATGAAATGAACGGTAGAATAATTACTCACTTTATAGGATTGAAACCAAAGGCATATTGTTATAAAGTGTATGGTGATGATAAAGAACACAAGAAAAGTAAGGGAGTAGTCAAGCATAAAGTGAGCAATCAGTTAAGTTACAAAACTTATGACGAAACATTGAATAGAACCTGTAAAGAACAAGTCAGTTTTAACACTATCAGAAGTAAGAACCATCAAATCTATAGCATTAATCAGTCCAAATATGCTTTAAGCAACTACGATAATAAACGCTACTGGTTTTCAGATTTTGAAAGTCTCCCGTTTGGACATTATTCCATAAAATATCTACATGGCGAAAAGATGATATAAGATACATGGATATCAATTCAACAACTGAATAACTGAGTCGAACAATGGCAAGACATAAAAGAAGTTGTAAATCTTATCTATATACACAATGCAAACCCCCAAAGAAATCGTTTGAAAAGTTTTGTGTTGAAAATTGTAAAATAATTCTTATTGAAGAATACCCATGCCAAAACAAAAAGCAACTCGAAAAGAGAGAAGGTTAATATATTGAAATTGATGAGAACTATCTTAACAAATGTATTATTGGTCGGACTTGAGTAGAATTTTCTGATGCCACAAGAGAGCATCACCTTGAAGAAACGAAAGGATGCCAAATATTCAAATAGAGAATATTGAAAAATACAAAGAAAAAGACAAACCACATCCTGCGAACAAAAAACAAAGCACAAGAAAGAAGAAACACTACAAACATAAGGAGAAATATCATGAGAAGAACTCAAAGTATAGAAAACCAAACAGAGAAGCAATAAGGCAAACACAAAGAAAAAGATACCAAAGAGAGAAATATAAGATAAATGCAAAAAGAAGAGAAAGGCAAAAACAGAAGAAAAAATAACAACTACTAATCAACCAAAAGTAGTTCATGCCTATTATACTTTTTACTCATTCCATCTAGTTTATAGTATCTATTATTCATCATGTCGCGACCAACTAGTATTACTTTATACTTTCTTTCACTCCATTGACTTCTGGTTTCTTTCCTTGATACATAGTTGCCCTTTCCTTTATCAAATATCTTGACGTAATCTCCTTCACTTATGTTTGGATATTTTCTGTTGTGCTTTTCTTTTAGTATCAGATTTGTTCTGACCTGAATTACGTTATCACGATTGTGAGCGTTGTTTGGTGTTGTCTTGGTGCTACTGTGGATTTGGTTGTTGTATCTATTCAACGAGGGCTTGAGGACTTCCACCCATGTTTTGGTTTTGTAATGCCTCAATCTGTCTCCAATCATTTTCTTGACGGTGCGTATCATCCTTTCTGCCTGATTTGCATGCGTCTTTGTTATTACGTGCGTTATACCTTCCTCCTTAAAGAATGTTTGCAGCTTCTTGCTGTTCAACGCTCCTTCGTCGTCGCTGTAAATCGACAAAGGCTGACCCAATACCTTGAAACACTCCATGACTGCTTTATAAACATCATCACCATCTTTATTCTCGATAGGGACTATGTGGCAGCACGGCAGGCTGTTGTTTCCACCGGGTTGGACCAGGTTGGACCGAATCGTGACTGCGGGTCGGCCACTTTGGCGCAAGCAGCCTTTGTGGATCGTTTCTGAAAACGCTGAAAGTGAAGGTTTTGTTGACCCAGCCCAGTCTAAGAGGAGGGTGGAATTCCATGATCTCGCTCCCGATTCCGATCCGGGAGCGACGGAGAAGGGAGCGATCCCGGGGTATCCATAGTGTCCTCTTGAGGATAGGGAGCCGAACGTGGAGCGATCCAGGGATTTCCTGTTCACCCCGTGTGCTGCGCTGCTTCCACCGAGGGAGAAGCTCCGACGAGAAGCGAAGAAAAGCCGGGACGAGGAGAAGAGGCCAGTTCCAAAGCATCACAAGGTGCTGAGTTGAGGAAATGTGCTACCAGCACAAATCCGTATGAGCCATCCTCAAGTGTGTGTGATTGAGTAAATTTGTTGGGGACGCAGATTCATTGGTTCAGGGATTCAGGGGTATTGTGGTTTTGCAACAGACTTCTCGGATGACTTGGCTCCACGAAATCTATATGAGCCCCCCAGAGAGATGCTTGAAGCTTGGAAACTTGGTTGGAAACCAACCAGAAACAAACGGTTCTTCCAATGTCCCAGGCAGGATCCATGGGACTGGCATGCCGCCGCAGAAAGACCCCGTACATCAACCCACCCCAATGTAAGTACAAATTCCAGTCCCATTGTTTGGGTATGGCAAGTGAGGTCCAGTAGTGAGACCATAATTGAATGTGCGGAACGTGGCTCTGATAGAGATGGAAACGGGTAACCCCCTCACACTTCATGGAGCATTTTTCCACGTGCGTCGCTCAGTGTAAAAAGGCTTTGCGGAGGTTTGGCGTGTCAATTGACGCCCTCCAAAGCATCCAACACCGAAAGCCGTTTCAGGCACTTCCCGCGGACATGTCACTCAGCGGCCGCGCGGAGAAACCCCAAAGACCCCCATGGACCCCGACGTTTCCGTGGTCGATCCCCGACGTTTCAACGACCGCCACCCACGGGTCCGGGCGCGGAAACCACCGGTCGCGGCCGGCTCTCTGAGAGGCGACGGGTCCGGTCGGACCGGGGTGCTCAGCTCGTGGAGGAGGCGGTCGGGGCCGGTCGGGGCGGGGTGGGAGTCGGTGCGAACGCGTGGAGGTGTCAGGCGCGGGAGGTGTTGTGTGTGTGGCGGTCATAGGAACATGACACACGACCAATGGGACTGGAACTCAAATATGAGGCCCCAGAAAGACCCCATTGACCCCATCCCCTTTCACTACCTCAACGACATACATGGAGCATCTGGGATGGGCGGAAGAATGGGGACTGGAGCCAAGTGAGAGCTGTTTACTGGTCCCAAGCCTCGAAACCAGGACTGTTGGAGGGTGGTGGTGGACTATTTCAGAAGGACGACCCTCTTAAAGTGACTTGTGTGTCAAAACTCAGAGGCTTTATGAGTCATGTGTACACTAAAACTCTAGGCACCCTAACAGGGATTGACAGGGATGAACCCTTTTCTAGTGGAGATTGTTTTTTCCAGGTTTTTCCGGTTCCTGTTCCTGGACAAAAATCCAAGAATGTGACTGGGGACCTTAGGAATCTTTGGGAGCTGGAGATGTGTCTTTCTTGCTCGCTCGCAAGGCATTCTCAAGCAAAGCATATCTTGGAGTCCCACTTGCCCGAGGAAACAGTGTGAGTTGGTCCCAGCGCTATTGACGCGTGTCATGTCTTAAACAGAACTATATACACGACAGTGCATACAACAACATGTCAGCAGATTGAGTTTTTGAGCCTGAGAGCTGTTTTGTTGCGGACCAACAGAGGTTGAAGGAGCCTATAGCCTATCCCACACGTACCCCAGTAAGGTCCTATAAGGTCACTTATATAACCTTTCTTGGGATACCCGTACTCTTGAAACCCGACTGACCTCGTTTCCTCCAGCACGACTCGGACAGTTTCATCAGCTCCAGGGCCGCAGCTCCTCATCTGGAAGGCCACACACCAAAGCAGCACTTTCGCTGCGCGAGCGGTCGGTCAGGTCCAAAAGGCCCAGCCGGTCGCTTCAGCCGAACAGCCAACAGGTTCGGCTCCCATAGACAAGTCGCCAAGACTCAGAGTGAAGCGCCAACTCCAGTCGGAAGGCACTTTACTAGTAAGGCACCAGTTACTAGTAGCGTTGCACTTGTTACATCTTGTTACTAGTAGAGGATGTCTCTCGCATCCGGTAAGAAAGTTCAGAGATTCCTTTTCTGGAAGGCCAAACAAACCCAACAGGCCGATTTCCAGGCTCAAGATACAATCTCTTGGCTTCTCACAAAAATGCTTTTCCAAGCATTTCGAATGCGCCAGTCCAATCACCTTGAACTCGGTCGCCATGAAGAAAAACATGTTTGTTCCCCATACAGGGTCAGTTTGAACTCATTTTACTGGACTTGGTCATGCAAACAGCTATCCTGGATCCTCAAGGAGGTAAAGACGTAAAACCGGGTGTCAGACTGGACTTGTATAGATGTCCGCTTTCCAAGTGCGTTCCTCCTAGGACCTTTACTTCGAACAAAACAAAAAAAACCACCGAGCCGGAGCTCCGTACCCGACCCGACCGAGCCGATTTCGCTCCGTACGGAACCCGTCGAAGGCCGCGGCGGAGTGCCTCCTCCTCCGCTCTCTCCAGGCATCGCCCGGATCGACCGAGGCGGTCCGCCGATGCCCCTTCCGTCGCTGGGTGGAGACCGAGCGAGAGAGGGAGACCGAGCGATTTGCGGCCACGATCCCTGGATTCGGTGCGGGAAAGAGACCGGTCTACCCTGGCCAGGCCCTGGCCAGGGGGTCTCCCTATTTAAAAGTTCAGAAGTTTTTTTTAATATATGATGCAAGGATCATCATGTTTCATGCAGATACCCCAATCCCCCCCGCAGTGGCCCCGCACAGCTACTCCGCACCAGCCACCCAGCTACCACGGGGTTCTGTGGACAAGATTGTGGCACTTCTGGGGATGGTTTCTTTTGTGCTTCTTTGGGAAAGAGTGGCAAAAGTAACTAGTGGGGGTGTATGCCGGGGAACCTCTCCAGACGCACCACGCTCTTTGCATGTCGAATCTCCCCAGAAGTTCGTTCGTTCATGTCGACTCACGAAAGTCTCATGATGTAGTGCTTGTTGCCCATGGTTAGTTGGTATAGCGGCATCCCCACGTACTTGAACCATTTCAACGCCTCGGCAGATCGACCGTGGAGAGTGAAAGAGACGCTCCCTATTTGCCAGAGGAGATCAGGGGGAGTGGTCCGGTGCACCAGCTTTAGGGGCTTTTGGGGTAAACGAAAATGGTGGATCCACGGAAAAAAAAACAATTCAGATCAGATGTATCATATAGCATTAATTATATATAGCGCCGCTATTAATTATATACTTTGACTGACGTTGGTTTCCTCGAAAAACAAAGAAAGACACCAAGTTTGCAGACACTCCATGTAATGATTGCACCGCCATTGACGAAGGATGCTTCAGATCGTCTCTGAACGGAATCAGAGAGCCGGAAGAATATGGTGTTTTATTTGCCTCCCTTTGGCAGAGTTCCACACCTTTTTTCCGGCAGCCAACTCCAGCTTGGTCTGAAACGGGGGGCGTTTCGGAGTTTCGCCCCCGTTCACAGCGAGCGGCTGGTCCTGCCGCCGCTCGGGCGCTCGGCCGCCGGCTCGGCCGCTCGGCGGAGGACTTGGCCGCCCTGAAGAGCTTTCCTTTGGTGGATGAGTGGCTCATGAAGGTCCGTCTACACGAGGCGCCCACAGACCGCCGCTTTAGTGTGGTCCGGGTGTTTTTTCGCGACACACCGCGAGGGTTGGTTGGGGGGTCGGTTGGGTGGGTGCACCGGGGTGGCAATGGCTGAAGAGGCCTCTGGTGGTAAAGGCATGTTGTGACTGATGAGATACAGAAACATGCCATCAACATATTCCTGAAAGAAGTTGAAGCATACACGAATCACCAGGATTTTACAATGCGCATGCTGTTTGGGTGTCCTGGCTGGACTACCGCAGCCCACTGCTATTCGGGATCTCCATCGGACCAACTTTGGATGGACCACCTGGGCCACCGTGAGACCTGCAGCTTCACCACCTTCCAGCTTGGCCCGGTCCAACCGTAAGGCCCGGTCTTCTGGTCCCATGTGATGGTCCCATGGCCCATGGAGCCATAGATTGTTCGGTTCCCATTGCGTCGTGACCGAACATGTTGGAACCGAAACCGTCGCACCGCCCGGTCGAAACCGCGGGGGAGGGAGTCGATGGTCGAACGCCCCCAGGTGGACGGTCGAAAGCCCCAGCTCCGCTTCGAGCCGCGGCGGAACTCAGCCCACTGGGTGCCTGGAAGCAGGCGGTCCGGGGAGGTGGTCGAGGAAGGTTGAGAAGGACGGTGGAGCAGAGGCACATGGAAAGAATTATGATCTTTGACATGAAAGATTTTGAACGGAACCCGTCCTTGACTTCAAGAGTCCAGAGGACCTATGAGGACATTCTTAGATTGTAGTGCTTTTACTATATACAGATGTTGCGTTGGCTTTAGATTTAAAAGAAACCGGATGTTTGGCGCCAGGATGTATGTTGACTACAAGCCCGTGTTCTATTTGGAGTGAGGCTGTCGGCCTCGTTGTCGGCCGGGTCGTGCGGGCAGGCCGCACGACCGCCACTGTCCGAGGTCCACAGATGGCATGGGAAGACATGGTCAAAAGGCATAGAAAACCCATAGAACTTGGAGAGGAGAGTTAGTAGGAGTGTTGAAACGTCTTAGACACAGAGCGATTTTTTCGGATTTGGGAATCAAACTTTGGGAAGTACAGTGACAGTAGGAGGATTATGCACTTCAACAGCTGTTTCACGCCGGATTTGGACAACACTTGATCCAAACTTGAAACAAGGTGTATTAAACATCACGCCATTGCATCTGGGAACATGACATGTCATGCAATTTCGATCGTCAGATGAACCAGTGACATTTGTGCTTTCCTCTCAACGTGTGTTAGCCCGAATTCCACCTGCTTCCGAATTCCACCCTCGTTTTTTCTTTAAACATACCACCCATGTTTGGGAAATCATGACAACAGCTCTGTGTTCATCTCGATGTTCCTTGGCCACCTTTTCCCCCTATTTTGGAGCCACCGTTCATGGCGGCCCCCTTTTGTGCCCACCGGACCCCACCAAGTGGGACCGACGTGGATGGCCCGCGCGGCGTGGTGGGTCGCAAAATGGCGAAGGCGCGGCGAGCAACTCGGCGCGCGCGCGCGGGGGCGCACGCCGTGCTTTTGGGCGAAGTGGCAGAGCTGAGGGCTGTGGTCTGGGGTGATAGACTCCATGGACTGAAGTGTGAAGTCGATGGTGTTCCTGCGGGATGCCGACCGTCTGCGCTGTCTGCGCAAGACGGTTTGTAAGCAAAAAACAATGTGTAAAATTGGAAAACCGACTCCGATTTCAACCATCAATTTCCAGCGATGCAGTGGTTCTTCTGATAGCTTGCTTGGACGGTCAGCAGGGAGTTGTTTTGAACAAGAACGGCACACACCCACACACCCACACCTTGGTTTTGGTGGAAAACATTTGGGAGAGGGCAGAAAGGCAGGGTGGATGAGTCATCACTTCCTTTCTGACCAAAGCAAGTCAGCAAGTTGGAGTCCCAACCTTCTTTCAAGATGTTTCAAGTGTTCAGCCAGACTACAAGGGCACAGCAACAGGATGCAAGAGGGCCTGCAATGGAGCCCTTTTTTATCCTTTTTCTATGCTTGGCTTCCACGCATGTATCACTTGTGTCAACTGGCAGCGTTCCTTTCGTCTCCGCTGCCGTCACTAGCTCCGTTCCCAGCTTTAGCACTTGCAAGCTGTCACGCACACCATTGTGCGCGAGCCCATCTGAGAAGAGGACATGTTGAGGCGGGTTGGGCGCTGGCACCGAAAGGGACGGGGAGGGGGAACACACACAGGCCAACAGGCCAGTCGTTTAGCTAGCATACACACCATGTGACAAATCCGAGAGTGAAACAAGCAATACAAACCAGATATATGTTTTGTCCCAAGCTGGGGCTTAAGATAGACCGACGTCGGCCTTGGCACCTACCAATACTCCTAGACCCTATATACCACCCAAAGGAGTTTACAGGATGGGGATATATGGGGATTGGATGGTAAACACCATGGACAAAAACCATGGTTCGAGGGGTCTATCAACCACCCGAGGTCCCACCGGGTGGTGCTGGGATCGGACAACAAGACCCACGCGAACCACGCCAACCACCCGAGGCCGTTGAACCACCTGGTGCGGGCAGGTGCGATGGGCGTGGGCCAGGTGAATCATCGTCAAACAAGAAATAAAAGAAACATAGCACCAAGTCCTGTATATGATACCAGATCAATCCATCTATTGTTGCCAGAAGGACATCATTGGTTGTGTGCTTTGAAAAAATCGCTCAGTTGCAGTTGGTTTTTGGTATTTAGAATTCACAGAATCTGACTGTGCATAACTCCTTTTGTACTGGAAATATTGGCACAATGTGGGGTTTGATGCAAGCTGATTTTTGAGGACCTGCAGTGTGGGGCATTCTTTTGGTGCCTTTTCAGGCTGTTGATTGATGTGTTTGTTATTTTTTTAAAGGTAATGTGTGTTCTTTCTTTCGTAGCAACCTGCCATACCATGGCATATGCATGCCATATACCTATAGTTGTAGAGGAACATTGGACCATTGAGCCCGTTAGTTACAGTCCTTGGAATCATCATGGAGGTGGAAAAGCAAATGGTCATCCAAGGGGCCATCCATTTTCCACTAGATGATGATTCCAGGGAGTGTCAACGTTGTTTCACAACGTTCGACCACCCGTGCGATCGATGACTAAGACCTGCAAAAAGTTCGTTCGACCACCCAACGGCCCCAATGACTCAGGGAGCAAGTCAGACATCGCCAGACGAAGTCCGGACTCCGTTCGAGGTTGGACCGATGATCCGCCGCAGTGGGACGAAGATCCCTTTTTGGAAAGGCTTACCCAGATGCTCCATGGACGGGACATATACCCGACTCCCTTTTCAACCAAGCCATTGTTACATAGACCCTAGAAGTTCAGGCCTGACGATGTTTTGCACCACCCAAGGTTTCAGGAACTGGACGAGTAGATCACCGTTTTCTTTTCAGATCGTTTAAAGCATGCCTTTCCTGGACTCCCAGTTCTTTTTGTGTTTGGCTTAAGGTGATTTTTGCCCTACGGGTAAATCAAATCCTCTTTGGATGATTGTTTTTCTTTTCTTTTTTTATTTCTGGGATCCCTGTGGAGTATTTCACAACACATGGGACTGGCATATTTACCGATCAGTTGAAGCGGTTGATGTACAGGGTCAATGTTGGTATATTACATGGCTGTGGGTCATAACCGGGGTACCTTGGTTGACCACCGAAAATGAACTGAATGGTCTCTGTTTGTCCTGTCTGTCCTGTCTGTCCTGTCCTGTCCTGTACTGTTCTGTCCTGTTTGTCTGTCTGTCTGCTGTCCTGTCCTGTCCTGTCCCGTCCCGTCTTTGTCTGTCTCTGTCTGTCTCTGTCTGCCTGTCTCTCTATCTCTGTCTGTCTCTGTCTCTGTCTCTTTTGTCTATCTCTGTCTGCCTGTCTCTCTGTCTTGTTTGTCTGTCTCTGTCTCTGTCTCTGTCTTTCTTTGTCTCTGTTTCTTTTGTCTGTCTCTGTCCGTCTCTGTTTGTCTCTGTCTGTCTCTGTGTGTCTGTCTGTCTCTGTCTGTCTCTGTCTGTCTCTGTCTGGTTGTCTGTCTATTTCTATCTCTCTCTCTCTCTCGCTCTCTTTCGCTTTGTTTTTCTGTCTAGTAGTTGCCGGTGTTGATGTTTGAGTTGAAAACACGCAGCTCTGCTGGACGTGTATTGCATCAGTCATTGGTTGCGAAAGGAAGGGGAGGAATAAATCAAGAAAATAAAATAGAATTGGTCAAACGTGGTGGAGACACCCTTTTTGTGGGTTACATGCCGAATGTGGTCCGAATGGCAGCTTTTTTGTTGCCATTGGCGTCAAAAGTAGAGGTTGCGCGTCTGCTCCTCCGTCAGTTGCAGGCTCGGTGACTGGCGCGTAGTTCAGACATGATGGGAGGGAGGCAAAGGAAGAGAATTTGAAAGTGATGTCCATACAGTGGTGCATTGGGCCTTGCTGAAGGACAATTGTATGTTGCACCCACATGTCTTTTACATCGGTGTCTACATAGCAACCACATTTTTAATTGTTTGCTCTGTGAATTGTAACTATGGGGAAATGTTCTTGAGCTTGTAAGCCAACACTTTACACTTTGCTTTGCAAGTTTGAAGTTCTTGAGGAATCAAATACACATCTTCCAAAGACTGCGCGCCAACATGTGACAACCTGCAAAAATGACACATTCATTGAACTTTCCCAAGTGGCTTGGACCCATGTATGCCACAACATCTTCCAAAGACTGTGTGCCAACATGTGGCAACAAAGATGCATCTGGGCTATATGCTTCATGGTCTGACCAAAATGTGCAAAAACATTTACAAATACATTTTGCACAAATTCATGCTCACTCCACATATGTTTCACTAATTCATTCACAAAGCCACCACAAAGAGCCAATGAAAAACAAGTGTTTTGACAGCCCGTGTGGTAGACAGTTCTGATGTTGTTTTCAAGAATAGCATCAAAAGCTGTGGTGATATTTCTAAAGAGAATAACATCAGGGGCTATTCTTTACAATAACCTCAGTGAGGTTAGAATTAAGCAAAATATCCTCCGATGGTATTTTTAACCTCAGCTGATTAACAGACCAGATCGCAACGATCGCTCAAGCAGGCACGCGTAGTAGTAGTAGTAGTAGTAGTAGTAGTAGTAGTAGTAGTAGTAGTAGGAGTAGGAGTAGTAGTAGTAGTCGTAGTCATAGTAGTAGTACTACTACTACTATGACTACGACGACTACTACTACTACTGACTACTACTAGTGACAACAACAACAACCACAACAACAACAAGTAGTAGTAGTAGTAGTAGTAGTAGTAGTAGTAGTAATAGTAGTAGTAGTAGTAGTGGTAGTGGTAGTGGTAGTGGTAGTGGTGGTGTTAGTGGTAGTGGTAGTGGTAGTGGTAGTGCTAGTAGTAGTACACTACTACTAGCACTACCACTACCACTACCACTACCACTACCACTTATACTACTACTACTACTACTACTACTACTACTCCTGCTACTACTACTACTACTACTACTACTAATAACCACTACTACTAACTACTACTACTACTAACTAACTAACTAACTAACTAACTAACTAACTAACTAACTAACCAACTAACTAACTAACTAACTAACTAACTAACTAACTAACTACTACTACTACTATACTACTGCTACTGCTGCTACTACTACTAGTAGTACCGGATTTTGCCAGTGTCAATCTTGCCAATCAGTTGCTGCTGCTCAGGACTTGTCTGACCTCCCCGACTGGTCTTTTGACCGTGCCCATTGATGCCTGCATTTTCAGCCAGCATGGATGATCGACACTGCGAAGAAGGACACGTACCAGAAGGCTTTGGGTGACGGATCAAGACAGTCAAAAAAACGACGTTGAGAGAGGCCAGTGCCACCCAACA